AAGATATAGGAGCGATTCGTGGGACACTCGCCTGGTCAATGGTATAAATACAGGTTGATTTGGACTCACCTGTTCAGTTCTGCACTCAGTATAATAATAGGGGACTCACCTGTTCTAGTTTTACAGTTTACGGACTCACCTGTTCATTCGATAGGTGTTAATGGAGGACTCAATTCTGTCTTGGGTATATATCTAATGATGGGATTGTGTTGTGTGGGGGGGGGGGGGGGTATTCAATGATACAGTATAGTTTGATGGGAACTCAGTTGATAGAAACTCGCTTGCCTTATGTCACAATATAGGGCAAAGGACGAAAATGGGCTATGTTCAATGATAAAATGGGCAGGCAGAATGTAAATGATACAGTACAGGTAGATGGCTAGAATTGAGTTTAAAGATACAGTAGAGGTAGATGAGCTAGAATGGGGACATGTCCAATGATACAGTTCAGGTAAATGAGCTATAATGACATAACACTCACCTGTTAAATGATATGCAGGTTAAGAGTGAGCTAAAATGGGGACACGTTCAATGATACAGTTCAGGTAGATAAACAAGAATGAACACTCACCTGTTCAATGATGCAGTACAGGTAGACGAGCTAAAATGGGGACATGTTCAATGATACAGTTCAGGTAGATAAACAAGAATGAACACTCACCTGTTCAATGATGCAGTATAGATGGGCAGAATAAACACTCACCTGTTTGATGCAGTATATTAAAATGGACGTTCAATGATACAGTTCAGGTAGATAAACAAGAATGAACACTCACCTGTTCAATGATGCAGTACAGGTTGATGGGAGATCCAGTTTCCACGTGGTATTCGCTGTTGCCGAGGATGAACGCCTCTGGGACGATCACATTCAGGTTCACAAATTGGCTGACGATTTCCCGGTTTCCAGTCGAATCTGCGAGAACGAGAGAACAGCGTCATGGCGGATTGCATTCATTATGTAACGTAATATAATGGAATGATGTGAATGGAATATAATTATGATATGATTGATGATGGTGATGATGGTGATGGTGATGGTGATGTTGATGGTGATGGATTGATGATGATGGTGATTGATGTGATGGTGATGGTATGTGATGATGATGGTGATGATGATGATGATGGTGATGGTGATGGTGATTGTGATGATGATGATGATGCATAAATAATAATAATAGTAATAATGATAAAAGTAATAATAATAGTAATAATGGTAAGAATAATAGTAATAAAAGATAATAATAACAATAATGATAATAATACGGCAATAATACAAATAAATAATGATAACAATAAGAATAACAATGGTCATTGTAATAATAACATTGACTAAAGGAGATTAGGAAAACGAAGAAAAATTCAACAACTTCAACAGTAAATCGTCAGAGCGAAGTCAAAGTAACGATTCTCAAAATGCACGAAAAGGAAAGTCAAAGGAAAATGTCGGATGTAAAAGCAGTAAAATATCACTGAAGAAGAAGAAGAAAAAAAAGTTCTTTGAAATTTTTATGATCGGAGACATATCCGAGGACACGAACGGCCATTAGCAAAGTGCAATGGAAGAAAAAAAGAAAGAATTAAAAAAAAAAAAAAGAATGAGCACACGTAAAAAATGTAGAAAAAAGGGAACGAAGAAAATGAAAATGAGGGAATGACAAAATAAAAAGAAAATATACTATTGCATAGTTGATGGTGATACATGTCAGTAAAAAAAAAAAAAAAAAAAAAAAAAAATATAGAGGTGTGCGTATATATATTCACATGTGTGTGTGTTTACATCCGTGTAGGTGTGTGTGGGTGCGTGCGTGTGTATGTGTGTGTAGGGGGTAGGTGTATGTGTGGGTAAAAAGACATTTATGTATTTTTGCGTACAGATAGATGTAAAAATAAAGAATAGTTATAATATTAATGAATAACCAGAACCTGTGACAGAAACATTCAGATTGACAAAATAAACAGAAAGCTCCAGATATATTTATGAAACGTTTCGGACCCAAAAGTAAGACGCATGGATAAACACATATGATACATGTATTTTTATCTGGTGCGACCCTTTGAGCAGTCAGTATCAGATGATACTGCAAATACTGGAAAAGTATAAATATTTTTATTCCATTTTATTTATTTATTTGTATGTACTGTAATAACAATTAAAACCATTACATCACACACACTATTATTCTACTATCAAAACCAAAAAGTTCTAAAAGCTTACTGATACTCATACCAATCCAACACATTCACTGGTTTCGATACCCTTCTCTTGTATCTATACCACGCACAATAACAGATACAGTATAAATACAGGAGAAGCTTGCGTGTAAACACACCTAGACACATAAACATGCAAGTAGACGCAGCCACATAATACTCAAGCCATACATAAATGAGACGCAGAATAGCACAGCGTAAACATACACACAAAAATATTCTACGGACAAGCACACTAGGATACATTCCCCCTTACATATTTATTCTTCACCTTTTTTGGAAGCAATCGACTGTGCTTGCGTTTAAAGAACGTCTCTGCTTTTCACAATATCTGTAACGCATATCGTATTTCTAGTGTTACAACGTAAGATCCTCTTAACTCACTCCATTGCTCTTTTACGATAACGCCTTTGAATAAAGCAATACCTGATTTTTATCTCTCCGTGTGTGCTTTATATCGCCATGGATACATTTTTTACACGTGGACACCAGTGCGCCATAATACCTCGAAAGATACGAGTGTTGGATGCCATGTTATAATGAGTTGCCCGTTATCCAAGGCAAGGGAAAAGCAGGTCGTTTCAGCCAAGGAAAGAATAAACCATGCCCGGCCGTTTCATCCAACGAAGGGATAACACCAAGCCGTTTCTGCCAAGAATGGGATAAGACAGGTCGTCTCATCCCGCAGCGCGCCCGATGATGGTGCGCCGAAACGTGGGCTGTTGTAAAATATTGCACAGCGGCTCAATCTCGGCTGTAAAGACATCGTTTATCGCCGCAGTGAGGGCGCGCTATGTCTCTTCTCATCATATTCACATGTGTTCATCTCGACTTTATTGGGAGAGATGCATTATCTTGTAAAAGTGAATAGTACATTCCCCTAAGCAGATGCGTGCATATCAGACGTAAAATAATGTCATGCATGTAACCACATACTATAAAACACTCCTCAATATTCCCAATTTATAAGCTAATACATACAAACAAATTAAAACAAAAGCAAACAAACAGACGATCCTAGTAACACACAAAATGCTCCCAGGAACAAACAAACACAAGTACACGCGCGAGCAGAAACAAGTAACAAACAAGCATCCACGTAAACAAGCAACGCACCGACCTCCATAATGACAAGCAATACCCAAACGGCTAACCAAATGCCTTGATTAAAATATTACCAGCTTCCCCCCAGATTAAGTGCGCTGGTATGTAGTCGATCCTTTTATGTATTACAACGTACCCAAGTTAATAGAGTACGTAATGAAAAACGAGACTTTTAATCACTATAAAAAAGCGAATCAAAAATATATATACCGCACTAGATGAATTGAAATGGACCCAATTAGACTTTAGGGTTGTATGGGGGATAGAGTGACACTATTCCACGAATTGTGCCGGAGATTTATTCATATCACAAACGTTTTAATGAAATGGAAAGTTACTTTTGTTGTGCGGCCATTTCTATAAAAAAAAAAAAAAAAAAAAAAAAAAAAAAAAAACTTTCCGGTTCTTGGAAACTTGACTTGCCTTCAAACTATCAACAATTTCAGGGTTCACTTTGATGTTTAGCTTTTTTTTTATAGTGCCTTTATTTTTATACATGTGTATATATATGTATGTATATATATATAATCATACACACACACACACACACACACACACACACACACACACACACACACACACACACATATGCACATAAAAACACAAACATACGATCTCGTTGGTATTATTATTGCTGTTACTGCGTTCTGCTCCTGCTGCAGAACGACCAAAATGCTCATTCCACTCACTACCAATATCACCCCAATTATCGTCACTACCACTATCACCATACAATCACCCATCACCATCTAATCAACCAGCCTATCTGTATGATTAACTACGTCATTAGCTAAAGTACCAGCATGGCCAACACGGACAACCTCTTTCTTAAACTTTCGTCCGTTCCAGCATAATTTCGACCCCCTTCCCGCGTCCTATGTAATATTCCGATATCTTTTTTTCCCTAAAGTTTCGTTCCCTCTTTTTTTCCCCAAAACCCTGTACCGGAATGTGGTATAATTGAACCCTGGGATTTTTCCTTCTCCTGAAATATGGTCGGACATTTAAAGGAGAACAGATATTTTGTCCCGACCCATGTTATTACTTTCCTACCGGTTATTGTGCATACTTGTGCGGTATAATGGAAATAATGTTATGCCTGTGCAGACAGTTTAAATTTCTCTTAGTGTTGCACTAACTCGCAATATTCGGCTGTGTGCTTGTGCCGAAGAGCTGTAAAGTTTTTTTTTCTGTTTTTTTTCTGCTGGGTCATTATCTGTTTTTAAATCCGTTTTTTTATATGAATCTCTCTCTCTCTCTCTCTCTCTCTCTCTCTCTCTCTCTCTCTCTCTCTCTCTCTCTCTCTCTCTCTCTCTCTCTCTCTCTCTCTCTCTCTCTCTCTCTCTCTCTCCCTCTCTTCTCTCTCTCTCTCTCTCTCTCTCTCCTCCCTCTTTTCTCTCTCTCTCTCTCTCTCTCTCTCTCTCTCTCTCTCTCTCTCTCTCTCTCTCTCTCTCTCTCTCTCTCTCTCTCTCTCTCTCTCTCTCTCTCCTTTCTCTTTCTCTTCTCTCCTCTCCTCTTCTCTCTCTCTCTCTCTCTCTCTCTCTCTCTCTCTCTCTCTCTCTCTCTCTCTCTCTCTCTCTCTCTCTCTCTCTCTCTCTCTCTCTCTCTCTCTCTCTCCTCTCATTTCTCTCTTCTCTCTGTCCCTCTTCCCCTCTCTCTCTCTCCTCTCTCTTTCTTTCCTCTCT